GAAGCCGTACGGCTTCAATAAGTTTTTATTGTGTAAATATAAAACGTTGTTTTTAATTAATTAATTATTAGAATTTTAGCAAAAAAAATCAAGTGTAGATATGCATTGTCAATTCATGATGAGGGAGGTATTTACAGCTGAGATCAGATTGTGATAAAATAGCTTCTGCTAAAGTGAGGGGAGGAGTAATACAGGAACTATACAATTCTACTACAAGTCATCAGTTAAATTTAAATCTCTAGACTTAGAATTTCTTAACGAATTAAAAATCTGCCTTCACAAATTTTATCACCAATCTTGAAAAAGGTTCTCTCGAGCAACAGCAAGGTTTTAAACAAATGGCATCTTCTCATTCAAAATGTAAACTGAAATCAACACAAGACTTTAGACAATGCAAACTGTTTCTACTGAACAACTCCTCAGCTAATAAAACCAACTGTACCATTGCAATGGATAAATATCAGACTTACTCTTTTATGTATTTCTTGTAATATTTATAATTACCATGATTAATTTTAATCCAAGCTATTTTTCAGTTTCCATCCTTAACTTCTCAAACACTAGCTAATTGAAGTGAGCGTTTCTGTTGATTTTACTTAAAATATTGGAATATTTCTCAATTATTTTAACACTAACACTGCAATTTAAATTACGTTAAGTGTATAACAATTAAAAGGCTCCACATTGAGGCTTAGGTTTAATTTCATCTCTCTCTCTCTCACCCCCATTTAATGACACTTTTGCACCATACAAATATTCTATCACTAAAAATACTTTTGGTCAAATTACAATTTCTGGCTATACAATAGCCTCTCTTCAGCTTTCTATACTATTCTTCCACTTTAACTGGGAAATAAATCAATGTGGTTGACAAATTTGTTCTATGGAATTTGTAACTGAAGGCAAACTACATGCTTCAAAAACTTGTAAGTTAAAGAATCCTTTTGAACCAATATGAGTCAATCAAATTTTAACAAGTACAAACTCAAAAAACTGGTCCTTTTGTGGTTCTACATATATTCTGAAATTCCAAAACTCTATCCTAGTTATGCAACGTTTCTTAAAAACTACAAAAACCTAACTTGCATAAAACAGTAAGTAATGACCTATCAGTCCACTTACACTAGCATAGCCAATATTTATGTTAAGAGTTCAAAATTTTATTACCACACTTCCCCAGGTGGATGAAGCTTGCTCATATGTTCTCACTAGCATAAACATAAGTTATTTCAAGATGTTATAATTTAAGTTTAAATGCCTGACAATATTAATACAGAGTTTTTCACAACGTTCAGAAACAATCTGCATCTCTACCTTATCCCTATCATGTGACTACACTGGTTAAAAGTCCTGATCCTCTCGTTGTAATTCAGTTGCTGTGTTATAATTTGCAATTGTCAATGGAGCCAACACATTACAAGACATTCAAATGAAAAGTAATCTTCTTTTCTGATTATAAATGCCTGCAAAGTAAAATCTTAAAGTTGAACCATATCAGTAAAGCAAGAAGAAAAAATACTCAATTCCAGCAGGAATAAAAAAACATACAAAACAGGCTACTGGTTACAAACTGGAGGTATGAAGAAAGTTAAACAGCTTGTAACAAAAAGTTATTCCAAGAACAGTGGTCTATCGTAACTAAAGAAATTGCCTCCTTGTAATCGAAAATAATTCATATTGATTTAGGTCTAAAAAAAAAACAACACTTGAGCAGCATCCACAAGCTTCTCCTAGAGCACACAGCTTAACAAAATATCAACTGTAAAACAGCTGCATAAGTGGTATGTAACAGATTAAATATATCTTTACACGAGATGAAGCATATGCCCACACAATCCAGGGAATTTATTATTGTTCTGCTGGAGACAAATTTTAAAAAGAACACGACCAAAGATTTTCCGAAGGCTTTATGGTGGTTTGCATCCATAATATTAAAATTAAATCAGTGAAGAGTCAAACAAAATGTTAAGATGAACTCGGAATACTTTCAGACTAAAGTGCTGGGATTATGATGTCAAAAACAAAGCATCCAAGTCAACTTGCAGCCAGTTTCTCTGAAAGATGCAATGACAAATGTAAATTCATGCTATACAACTTGCATACATCTTCCATAAATGAGCATTTTTGAGTTGTTCAAACAAGCTCTTAGGAATCATCATTTGATCATGGATGAAGAACTTTGGAAAATTTTGTGAAGTGGAACAATATTGAACTTCTGGCATTGTGCTAAAAAAAAAAAAATCCTCCTGCAATGGAGACTGCACAGAAGAGGAAGAGTCCATAACCAGAACTATCAGAAGTAATAAAAAACATTAGTGGTGGAAAAATCTGTAAGAGTAAGTCATCCTTGTATTATAACCATACACTGTGGAAACCCACCTGAATTAAAAAGTTCTTAGTATAGTAAAGTCACAAATTAGACATGTACCTTTCATTCTCTGCATGTTTATATATTTAATATTTTAAACTAGAACATCTGCAGATAGAGCCAAGAGCACTTTCACTTTATTACACCATAACATTGACAACAACAACAAAGAACTCAGTAACATATAAAAGAATATATGAAAGTCAATTACTCAACATATTTGAAGCCTGCCCTGCTTTGTGTGTGTTCTATTTAGTGAAAATCATTTTGTACAGACTAAGTGATTGACTACAGTAAAATATTTAAAGTAATACCAGTAAAACTGGAACATGTATCACTACTTTCATGAATATAAGATGAAGATAAAAACATTCACACATATAAGCAGGGAGAGAAAAGGTTTCGTCTTCAAGACTTCCTCTTTCCCCTTCCACGTGCTCTTCCTCGTCCACGAGCCTTTCCACGGTTTCTTGTAGCAATGGAAGGTGAACTGATTTCTTGGCTAGTGTCAGCATCATCATCTTCTTCTTCCTCCTCCTCCTCTTCATCTTCATCACCCTCCTGGGATTTCTCAAATTTAGCCTGTTTGGCCTCTCCATCTTTAGCACCTATATGTGATGAAAGTGAGGCAACCAGCTCAGAGTTTTCTTGTTCTCGAGTATCCGTAACTAATGATGAAATAAGCTGTTGATCATCTACATTCTCTTGAGATGTTGGCTGAAGGTCATCAACTGGTCCAAGAAATTCATCTAGTTCTGAAGAAACATGTTTTTCTTTACCCTCTTCCTCTTCAGGCTTGTTTTGCTTCTGATCTTTATTTTTTTCCTCTAAGATTTCCTCTTTTACTGCAGTAACTGACTTGTCTTGCTCTTCTGACATTTCCTGGTCATGTTCAGCCTTATCATCTTCAACATTTTTCGGATTATCTGTAGATGATTTTGTCTCTTCTGGACTCTCCGTTTCCATTGATTCAGACTTTTCTTTCACATCTTCTTCAACTTTCTTTTTAGCCTGTTCTTCTGCCCTCTTTTTAGCTTCTTCTTCTGCTTTTTGTTTTGCCTCCTCCGCAGCTTTTCTTTTAGCTTCTCGTTTCTCAATAGCTTTCTGAAGTTTCTGAAAGAGTTAAAATTTTTTTTTCAATTATTGCTACAGAAAATGAAAATTTAACAGCATGCGTGATGACCAAAGAATTACATATAACACATTTGTCTGTAACAAACCAGAAATATAATTCCTTGAGGTTCAATTTTTAAATTATGAATTTTAAGTGTTCAAATACCAACATTTCAATTTAAAATTAAATAATGTATGCAAATTTTGAAGTCAGGTTAACTAAATTCCCAGCTAGGAGGAAACAATAAAATATAGATAAAGCTCAAACTAAACCTAAGCTAAATATGAACACAAATGTTTTCCCAAGGATGTTAAATTTTAGTTCATAAACTCAAGCTAGTGAGAGAAAATCCCACAAGTTAAAACAAATTTGTTTAAGTTTGTTATAATTAGATTTAAAAATAAGTTTATTTGTATAAATTTTCTTGAAAATGGATATAATTGTTCACATCCAACATGTGATAAAACAATTAAGATTTCCAAGATCATGACAGAAAAAAAATGGATTTTTAACAAAAACTAAACACAATTACAGTACAAGTACAAACAAGCATTATGCTTAAATCCTTCTTTCTTAAAACGAAAAATTAATTAACTAAATTAATATCAACCAACGGTGGCCAATAAATATATGCAAGTTAATAATGAGTATTTTGTTTAGATTTTTAACCATATAATAATAATAATATGAAATTCTATACAAGACTTGACTTGATAACATTTAAATACTTTCAACTCTCCATAATGGATGAAAGGATAGAATGAAATCACATTTATTTACACAAAAGAAACTTCACAGCAATTATCTTTATTCGTCTTCTCTAAACTACAAAAAACAGACATCTGTCCATTAGTTCAGAGTTGGTGAAAGCAGTAGTTTTTAATCAAAAAGCAAAGAAAACTTTATTAGTTTATTCAGTACATTGATTTTTGATCTGTATAATATCCTTAAAATGAACATCACAGAAATAAGTTGACAGTAAAATAGTAAGACTTGTTTCATTACCTCAAAGTTGTTGCAGTGTTCCTCACTCTTGCAGTGGGTAACAGAATCCAAATCTTTAAAGAATTTATGACAAATTGTACAGAAGAATCCTTTAACTTCTACCACATATGTCTGACCTGGAGAAGAAAAAAAAAGGAGAAAAACTAAACATGGATTCCTTTTAAAATAAAAAAAGAAACAGTGCATGTTGGGAGAACTGTTTTTTTAGTTAAAATTAGGCATTTTATTCATACTTAGAAGGTTTTTCAATTTCAATTCACAATCAACTTCCAAACTCAACAAATTTTGATGTTTTTAATTTTCAGGCTCTAGATTGAACTCCCAATTATTATTGGTAATATCTGTCCAAGTTATAGGTAATTACAACTATTTAATATTGCACCTCATAAAGTTTTAAAGTTACCAGTCAAAGTGTGTGAATGAATCCTTGAGTGCTTTAGCCAAATAAGGTATGCAACTTTTTCACTGGCAACTCTACACTACTGTTTCTCCAAAATTGTGACCAAACATCACGCAATAAATTATTTTCTATTATTTATTTGAGTATGGTGTCTGTCGACTGATCATGTCACACTTTAGTTACGTCAGAAATTTAATTAAACAAACTTTATTATCAATGTATTTCAATAAACTTGGCATTAGAACACAGTTTAAAATTTAATTTCTTAATTTTAAAAGTAGGTAAATATACTCAATCTTCACTTGTGCTGTTATATGATGTGCATGCACTCTTAATCTCATCTTTTTTAGTTTGTATAACTTCAATAGTATAGCTTCTACACTAACATAAACACAAGCTATAAATATTGACAGGGTCAAATGTAAAATTTCAACTTCTTCATTTGATGAGACATCCATTTTTTCTAACCTATGATAGAAGCCTCACTCATCTATTCTTAAATTTCAAAGCAGTTTTTAAAACTATGCTTTTTTATTTGATGTACATGTTTATAATCAAAAGACAGAACTTTTTTTCCTATTTCAAGATTCCAACAATCTCTTAATTTGGCAGCAACTGATATTAGTTGAGATGAAGTGACTGATGTATGTGTGTGTGTGTGTAAGCAAGTTGTTTCTCATGGCAGTAATGGAATTTTTTTACCTATTTATACCTTAGTTAGAAAGCTAGTTAAATGATAGTAGTTTTGGAACATACTAGGCTTATTTAGCTACACATTTGAGTGCACATATTTAACAGCACATTGCATCTGTGTATGAGAATGTGCTAATGTGTTCTTGTTGTATTTATAGATGAATAAACTGCTTACATGTTACAAGCTGGGCAATAAAAGCTTAAAAGTAACCCTATGGTAATAGTTCGGCTCCTCTATGCATGTCACAACCTTTTACAGCTTCAGTTACATTTTCAAAACTTAAACAACTTTATTATTAACACATTGATAAAATTAGTATCAGAATATAGTTTATAATTCAAATTAAAAAAAAAAAACTTTCAATCTTTACTGCCATATGCAAGTGCTCTCAATTATTCCATTTTAGCCAGTATAACTCCAATAGCCCAACATGTACACTGTCTATGTGGACACAATATATAAACAATTCCAAGTTCCAAAGTACAGTTTCAATCCATAACTTTCCATTTAGTGAGATAATAAATTTTCCCAACCAACAATTCAAGCCCTGACCATTTGTCTTTCACCTTTAAGGCAGTTTCCAAAACCACATCACCTTATTTAACATACTTGTTTATAACCAATAGAAAGAGCTCATTTTCAATTTCAAATGTGCATTAGTTCTTTTGCAATTCGCAACAAGAGGATCAGTTTGTTTAATGGTAGAGAGCATACGTGATTTCAAAGAGCACCACAATATATCGTCAAAAACATGGATGACCACCTACCTTCACTCCATTTAGGTTCACACCGAGACCTGTGCCGGCTTAAAAAAGACCACCACCTGTGCGATTGTCTCACCAGCCAAACCCTACGATGAATCAAAGACAAAATCTCCAAAGAACACTGTACTGTACGATTAAGCTGACGACTTGAAGTATAACCAACACGGCAAAGAAAGACCGACTGTGAGTGTGAAATGGCACTCCCTGAAGTGCCACTTCAGTACACAAAAAAGAAAATAGCATCAACCCAAGAACTAAAACAAGAGACTATGGCACCAGAAACGAAAAAAAAAAGGAAGTCTAGTTTATTAGGTGGCCCTTTAGAAAACCTAGTATTAAATGAACCACTTCTTAGCCAAATTAAAATACTGTTATGAAGTAAAAAAACAATTAGACACAATAAAACAACAAAGTGGAGCTTTAAGAAGAAAAAGAAAAGCACGTAGAAGGAAATGTAAACTAAACGACTCTGCGGAAAATTCAGATAACGATACAGAGGCAGGAGAAACATCTCATACTGAGGTAGTGCTCGAGAATCCTACAGACAAATCCAAAGTACAAAGTTCAGCTAGTATTAAACAAACTAACACAGATAAAACCTATGATGTTGATATAATAAGTACAAATGAAACAGAAACATACACAACACTCTGATGAAGAAGATACAAATCAAGATGGGTTTACCATAGTAACATCAAAAACAAAACAACACAAAAAAAACTAAAGAATCAACTAGCACAAACATAACTAAATCACCACTATTAAATACACTACATCAAACAACTAAAGGAAATCAAAACTTGTAATACGGTAGTTATCCATGATATAGCAAAAATAACTGCTGTAAAACAATATCAATCACTCCTTTCAATTCATTATTATGTAAATCAAACATCTAAAGATCAGATGTGCGACCTAATTTACAAATGACCAGTCATTCAGACTATTCTATATATGTACTGGTTTCACAAAATCATATCTCAATTGTCACTTTCAAGTTAATCAGTTTTAAGTACTCCAAAGTGTTCATGAGTCATATCTAAGTCTCAGAGAAGACATCTAAATATTTTACAAAGAGCCATTAAATAAATAAAAGCTAATCACTTACATCAAGCTGGCCACGAGCCTCAATGTGTTATTTGCAGAATAAGGAACTGCTTTGAAGGCAGTGGTGCAGTTACTTAAGACATCTAGAAAAGACAAACTATAAACAACACGAACAAATGACCACAAGGTCTGTTTCTGGCTCAATACTATCATTCCAAGATCAAATCATATGTTTGTAGCTTTAAACTGGACACCATGTCATTCTACATAAAGTTAGAAACAGGTCTTTACAAGGCTAATCTGTATGCCAGATGTCTAAGGAGACACATGCCAGTGACAGCAGAGCATAATAAATATTACACATAATGGTTCCAAGAACACATTTATGGATCACCAACATGAGGAGTAATATTCTTTTAACAGATGAGTAATACATTTGTCATCTGGCTGCAGCATGAAATTTCCCAGGAAAAATTTAAAACAAGACTGAACACAATTTTCACAAAGGAATATGACACATATGGTCATGGTGGAATTTTGGAGTGAGCAGAAATTTGCACTGATGATGTACCAACTTTTATAACCTTTGGAATGGTACCATTAATGCCATATGCTTTAAGAATCACATCCCATAACGTTTCGTGTTGCAACATTCAGTCTAATGTATAATACCCACCCCAACTATAATATACTGGTTAGCACATACTATGAAGAAGATTAAAAATGGGATAGCCTTCACACTCAAACTTCCACCAAGGTATAGGAGATATGAAATGAATCACATGCCATTAACTAACTTTACGGATGTCCTGGAAACAGCTCCTTCAGCAAACTGGATGGAGGATACTCCAAAACCTTACTATGTTAAGTATGCAACATAGGAGCAAAGTTAATTTTGCTGTTTGTGATGACCATGCTTCAAATTGAAGTAAAATGTCATGAACGGTAAAGGTGTAAAATCACCTCTATCAAATAATATCAAATATAAGAAACAACTGAAAAACTGAACATTTGTATTTCATATCTCATGGTGAATCATTACAGGCCTGCCTTACATAAAAATGAACTGGAGGGGAGTAACTGCGATTGTTTTATAACTGTGGTTTGACCTTGTCATAACAAACATTTATACATTTTACTTATCCTTTGATTTGTGCATAGTATTTTAAACATACTCTTATTTCTGCACATTTGTAAACAGTTACATGCCAAATGTAAAATTCATAAACTTGTGTACTGTAAAATTACTTACCAATCACATCTCTGAGTTCTTCTTTTTTAATTTCCATTTCTTCCTAAAGTATAAAAAATGGGCCGTTATATATATTCAATTTTAAGGACAAAAGAAAACAAGTTTTCTAAAACTAGCTTGTTACTAAATAGTTTCAACAACCTACCATGAGTTATCATTATGCAGTTATGGAAAAATCACTTTTTTTTAAAACAATACATCATTTTAAAATTTATGACAGAGGGAAACTTAAATATATTTTAACAGTATATTTGTTTAACAACAACATTTTTTTGTAATGCTTTACGGCAGTGATTCTCAATCAGTGGGTCACAAGACACAGAGTTATGGACAGTTGCATGCTAGAAATAAAAAAGTTCATTAACTGCATATATGGGCCTTTACTGTTGTGCCAAATAACCAAGTGAGCTGAGGTGTAAAAGGTTCAGAAACCCCGATTTAAAAAAAATATTGGGCAGTATTTCAAATTCTCTAAAATATCTCATTTTTTCCTTGGGAGCTACTTCTGCAAGAAAGGTTATAGATACGATGAAGTGTAAATTTGTTTCTCTGATGTAATTTCTAATTTTTAACTATCTTATTTGGTTTCCTATTATTTTTGTAGAAACATCTTTGTTGGTTTTAAAATTTCAAACTTTTTTTAATACAAATTCTTTAGCATATAGCATTGTTAAATGAAATTATGCAGATCAATTTCTGTGACAAGTGCATTACTGCCAACTTCAGTAAATTTTCTGTATATTATGAAACTTGCAAGAATGAAACTGAATTAAAATTATCAATATTTCTTAAACCATTCAAAAATTTATTCAGTATGAGTAGCAATTGTTTTAACCAAACTTAACAGTAGCTCCAAGAAAAATCACAAAATTCGGGTTTATTGGATAAATAAAAAAAGGGTTTGTGGGACAGCCAAGTAAGAAAATATATTTACAGATAAAATAAACAGTGTCATAAAATCCTTCAAAGTAACTTTTTCATAAGCCTCAAAAACACAATTACAATTTCAAAAATAAAATACAATAAATTTTCTGAAACTAGCTTGTTACTAAATAGTGTGAACAACCTATCATGATTTATGCAGTTATGGAAAATTATCCCAAATCAATTTTTATTAAATTACACGAAAAATTAAAGGAAAACTACACATGCCTAAAATGTCTTGAAAAAATTTATCTAGAGTAAAACATTTTTCACATTGCTTACATTATCTTTTTTCTTTTCTATGCTATTTTCAGTGGTCTTGCTTCCTTCAACTTCCCCATTCTGTAAGAGAATATTAAACAGTCAAACAGTGCTTAATTTTCAAATAGAATTTTAGAACTAAGACTTCACAACCACAAAATCTGTTAAAAATTGTCAATCATGAAAAGGTGGCTTTATAAAAAAACAAAACTTTTAAATCAAACTTGTTTCATAAAACAATATACAAATGATTAACAAGTTAATTCATTGGCTAGTTAAGCCTACAAGTTTAACTTTGAATTTTTTCTGAAATATTTCTATAAATAGGTTAATATTTGAGAAAACAAATAAATATAATTATTTTTGAGATCAGTATTAATATTCCTACAACTGCAGATGGAAATATTTCACCCAGTCGCTGCAATCAACCTTAATTTTTTCATCATTAGTCAATTATTTTAAACTTAAATAAACTGTTAAACATAGAAAATTATCCCTGTAAAAAAAAATAAAAAAATCCTTTGAATTCTGTACCAAAACATGATTTTCATATCTGACATAAATGAAAGACCTAAAGAAGCTGTTTTAACCTTGTGAAATGCAAATATCACAAACATAGATTTCATGAAAGAAAACTCCTAAAATATTTCCCAATTCTCCCTCTCTCTAAAAAAATATATATACTAGGAGTAGTAAGATTTGAGGTCTTAAAATACTAACTATTACAAAAAAACATTCTTAATTCAGTAATCACAAGACCTTGTGCAGAATGATAATCAAACTTAGTCCATTATCATGCAACTAATGGAAGTTTAGGAGGGACAAAAAATAACTTTCTAAATGTTATTTTTAATTCACTAGTGTGAGGCTTCAAGCATTTCATTGTATTGCTTGTGCTTAAGGCTCTAAGTGCCTAAAACTATGTGACACACAGTTTAAAGTGTATGCAAAA